AAATTTTATATGCATAATTTACATAAATAGAATGTTAAATCTTACAATTTGGTTTGATAAAATACAAATTATATAGAAAATTATTGATGGGTGTAAGTTATTTAGTGTAAATTGATCTTGACTCTAATATCTAATAGACAATAAGGGTTTTAGGCCTTTACTTTTTTCACAAATTTCCCTCCATTTGTTGACTTGCAACTCTACTGCTAACACACCATCCTCTGTGGCAATTTGTTCTCACATGGCAAAATCACTACGTTACGTGAACAACTGATTTCACAATCCTAAAGTGAACTTGGGCACAGCATAATCGCCCTCAACAAAATTGACTCAAAAGGATCTGAACCCCTTCGTTTCTAAGATAACATAAAGAATGACTTCTTGGGCAACAAAGTACATTTCTTTTGCTGGGAGATTGCAACTGATCAGCTCTGTTATACAAGGCATTATCAACTTCTGGTGCTCTATTTTTATATTACCCAAGGCAATCATAATGGAAGTGGAGAGGATCTGTAGTGCTTTCCTATGGTAAAATTCTGTTCTCACAGCTAGAGGGGCTAAAGGAAATTAGAATACAGTTTGTTCCCCAAAGCAGGAGGGTGGAATAGGCCTTAAGAATCTAGTGCAATGGAACTAGGCGTGTATTGTTAAATTCATTTGGCTGCTGTTCTCAAAAGCAAGGTCTATTTGGGTAGCAGGGGTTCATGAGTACTTAGGGGCAAGAGTTTCTGCACTGTTAACCTAGTAGCTGATGCATCTTAGGGTGGAGGAAAATTTTAAATCTATGGCAGCTAGCTAGACGACTTATCCAGCATGTCCCAGGAGATGGCATGGATATGTACATTTGGCACGATTTTTGGCATCCATTTGGTCCACTACTAGAAGTCTATGGAAGTTCCATTGTTCAAGATCTAGGACTTCCCTAACAAGCAAAGTTGGCTAGTGTAATCAATGGGAATTTTTGGCAATGCCTCTTGCCATGTCTCCTCAGATGTTACAAATACAAATGCATCTCTTTGATATCTATCCTTAAGAAGGAGAAAAGGATACTATAGTTTGGGTGCCTTCTACGTTTGGTAGCTTCAAGATTGGACAGACTTAGCACTGGTTAAAGAGACAAGATAGGAGAATATGGCATCAACTAGTTTGGTCCCAAGCTATTCCTAAGCATAGCTTCATAAGTTGGCTAGCTGTGCTTAATCGACTAACTACAAGGGCAAGGTAGAAGCAATGGACCCCCGCAATTTCTTATGCTTGCATTCTTTGCCATGGCAGTCCAGAAACAAATGGGCACCTCTTTTTTAAATGTAGCTACACAAGAAGAATATGGCAACAGCTTAGCTATGCTTGGTATCCCATTTGCTGACTCTTGGTAAGGTTTACTACAATGGATGGGTAAAAAACTCGAAAGTCTTTACACAACCTGGTAGTTAAGTTAGCTTGGAATGTGGCAACCTACCACACGGTTAAAAAGAAACTGAAGGTTTCTCCAACAGCTTTTTAGAGTGGAAAGCACGATTGTTCAAGACATTCAATTTGAGGTAAGGAGCAAGATTCTGGGTTTTGCTTGGCCAAAGTCTTCTCCTCTACCCATGGCTATTGCATGCAAATGGGGACTTGAGACAGTTGTGAGACTCTAACCTTTGTGTATTGTTTGTACAGTTTTATCATTCTTTTTGACAGTTTCCTTTGCTTTGTAGTACCTTATTAGCTGTTTTAGTGTACAGATAGTTATATTAAATAATAAGATTCACATTTCATCAAAAAAAAAAAAAAAAAACCGCCCTCAATAAGTAGAAACACAGAAGCGAAGGTCCTAGATCATATCTTCTGTAATTTTATTGCTAGATTCTCATCATTTATTCTCCCATTTCATCTTCCCCATCGTAGTCAATTTGAAAATTAATTTTCGGAGTGCACCTATCTCTCCATCATGGATGCCATAACCAGCTCCTCAGCTCTTTCACGCACCAGATGCGCTACCTCCGCTTTGATTGCATTTCGTGAGTTTTCAATTTCTCTAGAATTTTGACTCTAGTTTTTGCCTTCCCCCTATCTATTCCTTTCCTTATGCCTTTAAGCAAGAATAGACTCCTAAAGCAGAACGAGTAGGGTGACAAGTTAATCTGCTGGTGGGATTCAAGCAAAAAGTTACGGTCAACGTTGTGCACCGGCCGCCACACAACATCTTGCCCGGTATGGCATTTTCCGGGCACGGGGCTGACCATGAAACCCACCCGGCCGATATGGCAATCAAGTGGGCTGCATGAAATTTACTTAGCGAGTGGGCTCATCATTCCGTACATAAAGCAATGTGAGATTATGAAAGGTTTAATACCCAATTTGGTCCCTAAACTTTCATTTCTAAACTTAGTTCGTCCTTTCATTTCAGAAAGCATCCAAATCGTTCTAAACTTTAATTTTTTGAAACCCAAGTAGTTTTTCTATCGATGGAACTGCATACGTGGCACATTAAGTCTCCACCAATTGACTCTTTAAGTGGTGCTATAAGAATAATATTTTTATATTATTTTTTATATAATTTTTATATATCATTAAATGAGTTAATATATTTAATATTATGGATCTTAAATAAATTAAAAAAATTAATCATTTAAATGACATATCAAGTTATATAAAAAAAAAAGTACAATAAAAAAATGAAATAAAAAGATTATACAAAAGTAATTTTCCATATCTTTTTTAATTTTTACAAATTTATGTGGAAAAAATACCGTAGTTAATTGATGACATGACACCAATTTCATTACACCACATTCCCGCCTCTCTCTCAGCTTTTGGAGAAGGAGTCAAGTTTGATCTAGTTTGATCTAGTTTGATCTAGAACACTCCTGAACTGGCTCGCTTTCTTTTTCCTGATATTCACCTAGATCCTCAGGTTGGTGGGTCACCATTCGCTTCTGTCCTCCTCGTCATCATCGTCTTCTTTAATGCATTGTTCAAGCCTTTGCCCGTCGTTGACTCACCGGAGATTGAGTCTCCTTCAGCAGTTGAGATCGTTGCCGTTTTCAACTCCACCGCTACCATTACCGAGGAGAAAATAGAGAAACTCACGGTAAGGATGGAATCCTTCAAATAATTTAATTATGCAATATGAAAATGTTCCCAATTAATTACGTGATGGAAAAAATGGTTCTTTTATGCTGTTTTGATTTTTAAGAGCCGTTTCTACATGAAATTATGCGTCAAATTTAGCTTAAAGAATTCAGCTTTACTGGAGATTCTAGGAGAAATGTTTTATTTTATTTATATTGGTGCTTAGCTTAACGTAATTAGCCAAGAATATGCATGAATTCAAAGTCGTGTTACCATTTGTGTGCTTATGTATCTCAAGCCCATAATTGCATAGACTTCAAACTGAATTCTACTATTTGCATAGATGTTCAATTTGGTATTTTTGCTGTCCCCAACATATGCCAACCATTTCTTGACAATATTTTGAGTTGGGTCTAAGATGTGTGCATCTACAGGGAATTCTTGACTTGGATGAAACTCTAGTATGTGCATTTGAGACCTCTACTCTGCTTCCTGCTCTTCATAATCAAGCAACAGAAGCTGGATTGAAGTGGTTTGAACTTGAATGCATGTCTTCAGACAAGGTTCCTTACATTACATCACATGTCGATTTAGTATTAAGTTGTTTCTATTTATTGTGAGAACTATAATGCTTGTACGCATATAGATAAGTCGATGTTGCTGTTGGTCTTTGAAGGAGTTTGAAGGAAAACCTAAGGTCAATTATGTTATTGTATTTGAACATCCTAGATTGCACGAATTTTTGAAACAACTTAGTGAATTTGCTGATCTTGTGCTTTTTACTGCTAGGTTTGAAGGTACACTTACTATTTCCTGTTTGTATTCTTCTTCTTCCTCCTCTCCCTTTAAACTCTTTGTTGACTTTGCTAATATCATCTTGTGTGCTGACAGGCTATGCTAGCCCACTTGTTGATAGAATAGTTATGGAAAATTGGTTTAGTTGTTGACTTTATCGACCTTTAACAATCAGTACGTAAGTACTTCCTCTATTACCAGGCTTCTCAGTTTTCTATTTTTTTGGAACTACACTCTGAAAATTGATGAAATTGCAATCAAGATTACATTTTACTTATTTGATGCCTACCCTTCTGCTGATATAAACAGGGAGTATCGAGAACATGTGAAGGATCTATCGTGCCTATCAAAGGATTTATGTTGAACTGTTATTGTAGACAACAACCCTTTTAGTTTCTTGTTGCAACCTGTAAATGGAATTCCATGTATTCCATTTTCTACAGGGCAGCCACGTGATACACAGGTACTAAAGAGTTTACATTATCCAATCAATGCTGTACTTATATATATAAGTTTTCATAACATTTTTTATTCTTCACTTACCACCCTATATCTGGTTTTAATTGTGTCAATAAGCTTCTAGATGTCCTCCTTCCACTCCTTAAGCACCTCTCCTAGCAGAAAGATGTGAGGCCTGTTCTATATGAAGGTTTCGCGTGCTTGAATGATTTCAAAAACAGGGTATCCTTGCTTCTGCTTGGAAAGTCTACGACAAGTTGTAGTCGCAGCCTACTATTCTTCCATTCCTTGTACAATCCATACCAGCTTTGTTGCTGAAATGCAGTATTCTTATTGGATTCTTGACCTTTGTATAGCATTTGCGTTCTAAAATTGTTGATGAAAGCTGTGAAAGATCTATCAAAGCATTAATATATTCATCTCTTGTCCAATTACCAATAGTCCAAAACATTAATGTATTTAGATCATAAAGATTTTTTTCTTTAAGTAAATTTTGTTGATAATTTGCAATCTTGCTAGTTGTTAATGTGAACTTTAGACTTTTTTTTTTATTACTAATCTCTCTTCTTGATGGATGACTGATGGTTGGTCCTATTTGGCACTCAGATGGTAAAATGGCTATTTGCTTAGCATAACCTAAGCCTACAGGCAGAAGTGCCAAACATGGTGATCGAGGGCCACCTGTGGACATGCCTGGACCAAGAGGTACAATCGCCATACCCAGCTGCGGAGTCTAAGAAACTATCCATTTCCTTCAGCTAGTTTATATGTAAAAGAATTTAGTTCCAGGCATGGCCAAATGAAGAGAAATTTGTTTAGCTAATAATTAATGCAGGTTGATATGATGTTAGGACTTAGGAACTCCATATCAGAATAGGAATTTCCAACACAGGTGTCTCTTTAAAGCTTGCATGTGCAAAAGAGAAAAAGGCAGCCTAAAGCTTCCATCTTTAAACACATATTGTCACAAAACTACAGGGATTCACTTCTTGACTAGTCTCCGTTGAAAAGGACACATGAAGCTTGTAAAGAAGAAAGAGAAGATATATATATATATATATATATATATATATAGACTAGATTCCTTTTGTCATTCAAAATCAAAGCTATATTCAAGTAAGCTTCTGAAGGTGAACTTTCCTTTTCCCTTGCAATATGATAGTGTGGGGATGTGGATGGGGATGGGGAGTCAAGTTGTCATGATATAGATTAGAAGTTAATAAACTTGGGTACAATCCTACATCAATTGATAGCCTAGAGTAGCTATGACGCCAATACTAGCACCAACCTACTTTCATAGGGGTCAAAGAAGCAAGAATCAAGTTTGATCTAGTTTGATCTGCAAGCATCGTTGATTGCACCCTCGCTTTTTGGAATCATTTGGTTTTTGGAAACTGAGCAGTTGGAAACATGGAAGCAAATGCTGAAATGGTTGCCAACTCTTATGGGAGGATCTAGGGGTTTCGAAGAAGAAAGAATTAAGAGTTGCAGAGGACTTAAGGGTAAAGAGGAAAAAGAAAGAGAGAGTGAACTAAAGAAGAATATGGAAGGGGAGTCTGCATCAATAAAGAGAAAGACCATGACATGTGTGCCCCACTATTTTTTTTATTTAGAAGGTTGGAAAGGTAAGAATGTAATTTGAAATGAAATTGGTGCCATGTCATCAATTGGGTGTAGTGTTTTTTGCACATAAGTTTGTGAAAATTAAAAGAGGTAATTGGTG